CCCCAAAACCCCAAAACCCCAAAACCCCAAAACCCCAAAACCCCAAAACCCCGAAATATCACAATTTATTGGAAATGAAAGAGGATATTCTTAACTAAAATTCTTCATAAAACTAGCCTTATACCTTCACTGATGCGATATATCATGTTTCTGAATAGCCGAGGCCTGGTCCTTTACGATCTTACTAAACATATAGGTTTGGCTCTTCAAAGAAGTCAAATTCTTCAAATTAAAATTCAAAGATTTCTGTTGCCAGTCTAGAAATTATCAACAAAGAGTACATGGTTTGACCACCATTGAAGAATTTTGATCAAGAGACTTGAAAATTGGCACTTCGCTCTGATATTTTCTTGGAGTCTTTTCTCAAATATCTAATGAAAAGATTGAATTTTGGGTGTCTTCAGCTTTATTTCCTTCTATAACACTTTTTGTTGTAATAAATAGGAAGTTTAGAGCTATCAGAGTGACTCAAAGCTTTTTCAGCTATTTGGGTTTTATTACACTCTAAATGTGTGATGCATGCAGAGTACTTTTGTCCATTTTGTTATGAAATTTCTCCATTCCTTTGACTATTTCTTTGGTCTACATCATTGTAAGTAATATTTACTCTTAAAGAATCATTATTTTTACGGTGCCTAAATATTAATGTTGAGGAGAATAGAGTACTTACTTTGGCACTGAAATGGATTTGTTAACTCTATTAGAATTGGCTTCTTTACTTTTCCACACATGGGAGAGACTATTTTTAAAGAAATTAACTTGTGTATCTCTAATTTTAATGCTAACTTTAGTATAATTATGATCCTCATTAATAGTCTCATTGTCTCTTTGGGTTGACGGAGCCACCCTGCCAACACTTCTATTCTATATCTAAGCCTTACATTCTTACATTCTTCTTTGGTGAAGATATGGTTGGCAATATCCAAGATGAATCTAGAGATTTCTTTATATTCTTGTTTTCAAAAGGACACTCGACTCTTTCGAATACTTTCTGTTTTACTTTCTTAATTTCAGCATTCTTGAAAAGTTTAGATAAGTGAGAATTTGTAAAGATCTTCGTAACTTTCTTCACTTTAGGAGTTGCTACAGCACTTTGTACTCCCTTTAAGATCGGTTTCTCCTTCTTTGATACCTTCAGAGCTGTGAATCCATTGGTGAAGTGATTTACAAGATCTGTGCTGATGTTCAAGGGGCTCTTGGACTCAGACTTCCTACGCTCGGAAGGACTTTTCTAATGGGTATAAATTTAGAAGCATACCAGCGGAATTTCAGGGAGGTTTACCTGAATACTCTTCTTGAGATTTCTCGGAGAGTTTTGCCTATAATTTATACAACAGTTATCCCTAATTAAGGCATACTTCTTATTTTTTGGGCGATTTCGATTCTTCTAATTTTATAGGCTTTGTTTCTAAACCATTCATTGTCAGGATTTTGATCTTTTTATCAATGAACCGAAAAGTAATGTTGTACTTAAGAATTATTTCTTTGCAAATTTATGATGAATAAGTTAAAGAGTAGAAATTTAGACTTCTGTCATAGTAAAATTTATTTTGACACCAAAATATATGATATTTACCTAAAGAGTCAAGTCGAATTTTGGTTGCCTTGGACCGGTCTTTCTTTATTTTATTAATTTTTTTCATATCAATGATTATATCCTATGTAAAATTTTTCATATTCTTAAAATTCAGAAGATGTTTGCCAAAATCTAATGTGGATGGAGCTAAGAAGAACATTATTTAATTTACTCGAGCTTTAATAGTCTTCTTCTCCATTTTACTTTATTAAAAAAATTATTGTCAACAAATGAGCCAAGCAATGGGGTTTTGGGGTTTTGGGGTTTTGGGG